AAATTGTAACGTTCCAGTACACGGCATGGGGAGCCAATATTGTGCCACTGACATTTTAATGGTCTTTTTAGTACGGAGCTCTGCTTAAAAATCAGCACCTTGATGAAGCTCATCACTGCAAACACTGGAACTGATTTAGGGACAGATTTGGAGAAAGGTGTGGACAAAAGAAGATTTTAAAAGCCTTTGCTCTGGCATGTACATGAAATGCAAAAGCAGAACCTTCCCTGCAGTCCAGGTAGTCCTTGGCCTGCTTCCAGCCACTGTCTTCGGGAAATGCTGAGCCCCAAAGGAAGGGCGTAGATTTGTTTCTACAGCAGCCAGCAGAGCGGACCACTGCTGAACAGGGAGCAGACCAGGGAGAAACCTCTTCTGCATGAGGAAGCTGCCCATACAGTTGAGCACACATAGTAGACGCCAGCTCCTGTTAAAGCAAATTGCAAATCTTGTCCTTTTCAGTAGCCCACATCAGAAAAATCGTCCCTTCTCCCCGCAATTTATTTCTAGTGTAACCGAGATAATCCTCGGACAAGTTTGTATTATTGAGAAAATGGAGGGAAAAAATAAAGAAAAAAGGAGCATTTTTTCATAGCAGCCTCTTAACTACGTGGGAGGTTCTTCAACCAGAAAACTCTAGGGCTTTCTATACTACCCCTCATTTCCACTCTTCTGGGTGAATTTGATCTGAACGACATAAAGACAAGAACTCCTCTTTCACTTTTCATTTGCCTAATTTTTTGGCTAGTTTTTTTCAGCAGGCACTGCTACACTATTCAGTTTCATGAACGTACATTACTCTCAAAGCAATAAACAAGCACTATTCTAGCATTAGCAAATTTAAATGATCGAAATCGGGAAATTAAGGTACACTATTACACCATCCACAATGCCCTCCGCATGCGGCTGAAATGACCAACTATGAAGCCACGGAAATAGAACTACAGGTATTAGCTTGGTCTACAGGAGTTCATTCATCTATAATAAAAACTGCTTTCAAATTCCTGAAAGCACTTTTGTATAATATTATGGTGAAGAATAACAAGGTTTCCACATGATTAATATTGTCAGGTTGCAAGTAATAATTACCTTTGCTAAATCTTAAAGTTCGCTAATTTGTCAGTCCAGACGAGAAGTTTCAGAGTTGCTACTGAGACTGAAAGCACTATTTAGCATATGCTCCATAAAAATTGCTAACAACCACCGCGAGGATTTTAATAGGGTCTAGCTTCCCATCACTGCCCATGTGTAACTTCAGCTTCTGTTAATGGTTTTCTACATGCACCGCAGAGCCTTAAAGAAATGGTTAAGTAAGTAAAAAACACACTGTCTTCCAAAGGCTTTCTCCCGCCCTTCATAATAAAACAGATTCAACTAGTAAACATCGGAGAAACCAAACAAGACATTCCTCACTCTCAGGGCAAAGCACAATGCTCACAGGGTCAGTAAAGACATCAAGGGGAAAATGAGCTGAAAAGCAGTTATAAGTCATTAGACATTCTTGTTTTCCGATCTCTGTGAAAAATACAAGATTTTATAAATCTCATGCCATAAAGAAAGGGGTGAAGAAGATAGAGAAAACAGTACAAACCAAGAATTAGGGTTTTTTCATGTTAAATTGAAATGGAAAACTTACTCCGCTACCAAGAAATGTCCCTTCTGCCTCATGCAGTCCTCTTGTGTTGCTCAGTAAGAGACACCCCCCCCCCAAAAAAAAAACCACTTAAAGGAAAGAAAAGGCTAAAGCTAAGCGAAGCTAAGAAAAATTGACCTGAGCAAAATAACTGCATCAAGGGAAAACATAGTTTATGCTAATACTATAGAGAGATCAGTACAGAAAGCCAAGTAGAGGGCTAAAATGTGAATAAATGAAGAAAATAGAACTGCCTTTGTAAAACAAAACAAAGCTGGTTCAGTAATGACTGTATGTCTGCAATTCACTCTGATACATGGAGATACAGCTTCAAAATGCCTATATGGGCTTGGTTTTGTTCCCAATTTTTGAGGAGTAAGGTGGTTTCAACATAGCTTTTAAAATTGCAATGGCTTTTCTCAGTTATCTTCAGCTCCTTGTTAATAATGGTCTGTTCTAGCTACTCATCAAACATCTTGTGCTATCTCCTGTGAGATGCTAAAAGCATCCGTTGCTGTTATTCAGAAGGAACTATAAATATGAACTACGCTGTATAAATCTGAAGCGAGACATGTTCCCTGTCCCAAACACTTTAGGCTGAAGAGAGACGGGATGCATTAACACAACCTAAAAAAAAAAAAAAAAAAAAAAAAAGCACAGGTCAAAGGAGGGAGCGTGATAAAAGCAAAGAGAGAAGGGTAATTGCGGGCTGAGAACACGACTGCATGAAGAAGATTTTAGCTGTACATGCAGAAAGAAAAGAGTGAGTTTTGATGACAGCAAATAGAAGTAAGTTAGAGGGCTTATTAAGTGGGCAAGAGGTGGAGAGAGAGAAAAGAGGAGAGAGAAACGGGGAAAAGAGAGGGGGAAAAAAGGCAAAAGGGTACAAGAGTGCGGCAAGCAAATGTTAGAGTGAGATTTTTGAGGCAGAACGATGAGGACAGTAAATCTGTCAGTGGTTAATAAAAGCGCGTGACAAGACTGTGACTCTGGAAGGAAGCAAGAGCTGGGTTCCCTGCCTGATGCTCTCCCTGGCACTGCTGCGGCGGAGAGCTGCTAAGGAGCTCTCTGGTGTTCTTGGCTTAGGGCAGTTTTTGTGCTCTCGACAGCCCCTGGCATATTTTAGGACGGATTCAGGGGTTCCCTCACTCATGTCCTCTACGGCTCTTACACAGCCGTGACTTGTCAGGGAATTGTGACCCTATGCATATACCCAAGCAAGGCACCCGTCAGAAGAAAGCGGGGGAGGCACGGCACAGAATTAGCTACGTGAGTCCTTATGTGTTCCCTAAGGTCACTGGGGAACGCAAAAATAATAGACTGGAAGAGTGTCACTCCCAGCCCCCATTTGAAAAGCTCTAGTCCAGCTCTGCTAGCCATTCACTTTAGCCAGGTAGACCCCTGTCCTATTTCAGGCTCTGAAGCTACATAACTGCTCTAAAAAAACCCACCTTTCTCTGTACACATCCATTTTTTCCCAGCACAAGCACCACGGGCATTAACTCCCTGGCTGGGGTTTTTGGGCCCGTGTGATGGGCTCCCACTGGCAGACCCTTTATTCCTTCAGCTGTATCCCACAAACAGGCTGGAAACACAGAGAAGGAAGCACATAGGCAAGTGCCGGGTTACTTCTGCAGACAGCCAGCAACATCTGGGCGATAAGACAGGAGCAGGGTGAGCAATTGCAGCTGCTGGAAGAGCAGAGCTGAGAGGTGCCAGCTGGAGGAGACGGGCCCTGTGCGCGGGCAAGAGCGGTCAGGTGCGGCCGTCCCACGTTGTGTGAACTGTCCCTTTCCGATGCCCGGCTCCTGTGGCATTTAGACAGCTCCCAGGTTTGTAAAATTTCTTCCTATTACCACTCCGATTTGCTCATCCTTTAGAGTCTCACACAGTGGTGAAATGGTTACAGCCACTGCACGTCAAAGTCCGGACGCGCGGACACCTTTTGGCTTTGGGGAGCCAGGGAGTCACGCTCACCGCTGCACAGCCTTCGAGGTCAGCACGGCAAGCGTTAAACCAAGAGGAAAGCTATAAAGATGGAGGGAAAATAATACCCTTAGTGGAGGACGACAATAAATGGCAACGGCCGTTAGTCCCTCTTACAGACTTCAAGGATGTAATAAAGCTATAACATTAATTATCATTTAAACTGCTGCTTACCCCGTATCAATCAGAGTAATTCATTCCAGTTACTTACGACACTCAATCTTAAACCACACTAAATCAAAATCACCAGCAGTGTGAATTTATAAGATCTGTTTTGCTGCAGAAGCATTAATGGTCTAGGCTGAAAAAAAAAATCAATGGCGCATTTCAATACAAAAGCCATCAGAGCTTTTAATATAGAAGTAATAGGGCACTTATTTAATTGCTCAGGAGCTCTGCATTCACAACATCCCCACCCCACAGAAAACACCCCTTTCTTCCCACTTCTGATGAGGCTAATTTGCTGCATGCCAGTGCTGGGGGATTTCTGAATGTGTTCAGAACAAGATGGTAAGAGTAAGCCAGAGATGAATAATGTGTAGTAAAAATCAATAAACCTTATTACTAGTCACTAAGGGGACTGATTTTATGTCTATAAAAATAAAACAATTATAGCAATATTAATGGCAGATTCATCACAGTAATATAAAAAGTCCAAGTGTGCTTGTCTGTTGGGAATCTTTAATGCATCCTTCTATATTAAGTATTCACAAGGCAAGAGAAATGGAGCCCACTTCACAAACAAGTTCTAACCTCCAGCAATTCATCTTGCCAAGAAAAAAAAAGACAGTAAAACTTTAAAACCAATTTTGCCAATCAATCTAAATGGAATATGCAGGAAAGGATAAAAATTAAAGCTTTAAAAACTTGACCAGTGAATCTTATGTTTTTCATGCCGTAATCGGTGCTCTTTCACGTTACTGTGTATTGTGTCTACAACACCAGAACTTAACAGGTGGCAAGTCGATAAAATTATTTATTTTGTAGCAATACAGGTAGGAATTAAGTACAGCACGGGACTTTTTCCTGTCTACCTGTCCTCCCTTTTTAGGTATCTATTCATTTTATTGGGGCTGTACAGATGAAACAGAAAAAAATAGCCTATAATTTACAGCCCATACAGCCGCTCTACAAAAGACATTAGAGATTTAACTACCGCTAATACCACCCAAGGTTATTAGGGGCCTTCCTCGAACCTGCTGAAGTCAAGGGAAGGAGATCCACACAGTCGTCCGGCTTGGGTGCCGCGCCGTGACCCGGGAGAGGCAACGGCAGGGGGGGTGGGCCCAGGGGCCACCGTGGGCTCTACCGCCTGCATCGATGGCTCCGCTCCCAAAGCGGGCTGTGGGAAAGCAAGTTGAGACAGACACCAAGGAAGTACAAAAACAACTTTTTTTCTTTATTCTGATTGCCAAATTATTTAAGGCAGGTATAAAAATGAAAGCATTCAATATACATTTTACATAAAATAAACTAGATTACAGCATAAAACAAGTAACCAGGCAATGGCATTAAAGTCTCTCTTCTAAAACTGGATAATTGTAAACATTAAAAAAAAGACTGCAGGACTATTCAAGTAATAGAACAATCACAGATGTCTTCTGGTATGCAGGCTATTGGGTTATTTGCCATTCAAGATTATCAAAAAAGACATTTCATTATTCACAGATGCTCATTATTTCCCCATTTAAAATCTATACATTATGTACAACACAGTTTTTGTGGTACTGGCAACCCCATGCCTTCCAAATGTATATCTCTCACAATACACAATTACAATGAAACAGTGAATACAGTAACATTTTACACTGATGCATCTTAATAGGAGCCACCAAATAGACATCTACATTGTACCAAAGTGTCATCACAGTTAGCCTCTCTGAGGGCTTGTGGGAAATATCAGAAGGGTATGCAAGGTTCAGGCACACTGATACATAACATTATTTATTTACAATTAGAAAGCAAAAAAAACAAAAAAGAAAAAAAAGGGAAGGAGAAGAGAAAAGAAACAAACAGCCTTTCGCGGTTAACACTTTCTAAACATGACAAATACATTTCTCCTTTACTGTGTGGTTCGCAACTTAGCAGCAGACCCTGTGTGCGAGCCTGGTTACTGATACAAAAAAAGTAAAGAATATATATATATTTTTATATATATATGTATATATATATACGCATATATATATATAAAAACAGAAGTCTAATTACAGCAACATTTGTTACTCTGTGATAAAATCTGCAATTTACAAAAATGAAATGACTGGTTTTTGCCTGCCATTAAGGCATTTCAAATTAACACCATGGAACTGATGTCTGTAATAAAGCGCTTCCTCATGTGATCCAGTCACATGACAATGTACGTTTCCAAACTCATCATTCTCTGAAAAGAGAAAGAAGAATGTTTCAGTATGCGGTGTCCTTCTTGGCTAACATTTTCTGCATCTCAGATACCCTGTGAAATGAGATCTGCACAGTACTCAATCTCAAGCCGCAAAGAGAGCAAGTCACATCCTCCTCCCTCCCCCAAAAGGTCAACGTACTAACAAACGTGTCGGGATTTATCTTCTGAGTTCTGAAACCCTGGACTGCATCAGGTCTTTCAGAGCCAGAAACCTCCTTTCCCATTCAAATAACTCAAGCTAGAAGTCTGACATGGTCACTGGTTTTCAAAAAGACACCAGTAACCATGGAACTTTATAGCACTATATAACACATTAAACTCTCTGAGACTTAACATGGAGGTGATGAAAGAGACCCTACTGTTAGGGGTGCATTGGGTTTTTCACTTAAAATAGCATGGTTATTACACAAAAGGGTGTCTCTCCTGTTGGAGGTCGAAGAGTAAATCTTATTTGCAACCTAGTAAATAACTAAGAGGCAAAAGCATGGAATTCCTACATAACTGAAAAATGACGCAACCTCTAACGGACTCCCTAGCAAACCCTCTGCAGTATAAAATCAGCAAACCAGACAGATTTGCAGATTACACAAAAGCCTAAGTTTACCTGGTAGTAGATGGATCTAAACGGAACATGACATTTTATCCACTTCTTAAAATCATTTGGATCTTAATTATATTTCATAATCACCTGTTTTTTCTTAATAATAACTAAACCTAAAACACATTCTGTGAAAAAGTTCAGAAAACGGACTGTTTGCTCCCTCTTGATGATCTACGTTATGATTAAAGGACACAATTCAAAGACAAAATGTCATCTTAATGAGAATAAAAACTAAAATTAGCCTCAAAACCCAGTCATCCTTTCCCCTCCTCCTTAAAAACTGGGTCTTATAAGGAACCGCAGACCTCTAGGCGATAAAAACTATGATTTGCTTTCTCCTCTCTGTATTAAGATGTATAATTCAAGATTTACTGGATATTTACCTTCTTTGTGCAGGAAACATACCAGACGCAGATGCCTGAGCAGCCACCTGCTGAGTGGCAACAAGGGCAGCAGAGGTCAATCCTGAAGGAAAGAAGAAACAAAAGAATGTGGATGTACTTCTGGTTTTAATGGATTTTTGTGTTCAGAGAATGGTAGGAAGAATCTCTAACGAAAACAAATAAAAAAAACCCCACCGTCAGAAAATGGCTTTTAACACTACACAAAAGGCAAACGTTTTCAGGCAGCAGTGCTGAGACAGTCTGCCCCGTATGACCAACATGCCTTCACAGAGCATACTGAATTCTCCTTGATAGGTATTTTACAAGAAAATACAGCATTCTGACTTATTGTATTACTTTCCAAGTACTGCACTGCATGGTGCTAAATGGTTTGTATGAATTCCTGAATAGGAAGCTCAGTAGAAATAATAGGTACCAGGAAACAACAAGAACAAAAAGTCACAGTGAATTACAGAAACGACATGCTAGCTGCTCAGAATACAATGCTTTCATAATAACTTACCATTTTTACAGTTTTCCTACTGAACAAGCATAATGCATCCCATAAGGCATATGGAATCACTGAATCAAACTGAGAAATTTCAAGACTTTTACACAGGAAAAATAACTGCTGAGGCACTGAGTGAATGTAATGAATTAATGTCATTTTAGCTACCAATTGTGATAGCATGTACTTTGCTGCATGGGAGGAAATCTCCTTTTAATTCAGCTAGAATCCAGGGTTAGAGAAACACAGTCAAAGACTGATATAAAATCGAGGGAGAATGAATCACGTCTTACTGTGGTGCCTTTTCCCTGACTGCAACTCTGTGCACTGCATTTGCCGAGATACAAAGAGGTCTCTTTCAGAGGCTCAAACTGTAACAAACTCAAACCCTTGTGACTGCAACGCCCTGTACATAAAATATGTTCCGTATAAAACGCTTTTGTCTTTGCTAGACTTCTTCCATTGCTTACACAACCCTAATTATATAAAAAGGGGTTTGTTTGGTTTGTTTTTTTACCGCCTTTTACTCAGTTGATGTCAGTTTGCAGTAGGATTCAAAACGTTCAAGCGAACAACAGCCTAACTGGTAAATCTTTAATAATGTGCTGACAACCAGTTCTGGAAACAAAAACTTGGTATTTCTCAGGCACGAAGCTATTTACTGGAGGTTTTCTTTGCTGTTAGTCCTTGCTGGGAATTTTCAAGCCTTCCGCCTAAATGTACAGCCCTTCTGGTTTAACAACGGGATCTCTATTCAAAGCACTCCATGTACGTATGGCTTGCAATGTCAAGGAAACAACCCCACCAGGCAAGCGAATCCCATTAGTGCTCACCTTGAAATGGGTCGTATTGACCAGGTATAAGTGGGTAACCCATTCCAACGTGTGTGTGGTGGTGCGTATGGAGATGCCGCTGGCTGAAAGGAGAATGACGGTCTCGTTCCCTCTCTGCTTCCCGTTCACGCTCAGCTGCAGATTTTTCCACAGGCTGACAACAAAAAGGTGAAAGAAAACTGACGTGAGAATTTTAAAGGGGAGGAAATCACAACCAAAACACACTTGCTAGCACTACCTGGCAATGACCTTTTACATTCAGATGATGAAGCTGATTCTCCAGTGTACTGGAGATCTGCACTTGTTCTAGCCCAAAGCTAGAGTATCTGTTTTTTTCTGGTATTCTGGTTATACATAATCTGGAAGATTTTCAAGGCACAGATTTTCAGGTGACACCCTGCGGCAGGAAGCCACCACGCTGACCTCTATTTTTGGGCTCCCTTAAGTCTGGCTGACCCGCCAATGCCTGAACATCCTCTTTGGGCTGCTGAGAGCTGATGTAAATTAGTCCTCAGCCCTCTTTAATGCACACTAGGGAACAAACCTGCCTGAGCAGCAAGAAAGCCCTTTAAAAACAGAATCAGAGTCAGTGACTTGCTCACAGGTGAAGCTAGCACCAACGTATCTGAAAGTAAAATAACAGTGCTTGTTCCAACATGGAAATTTTCAAAAGTAGATGCTGGCAATCTGCTATTCAGAAGATATGGCTTCACGGTAAATCTACTGAAGGGATATTACTGAAACCCACAGCTCAACTTCTTGCTTCATTATCTGCTTTCAAACAGGAGCTTCCTGTTTAACTGCAACAAACTTTGCCATGTACCATGAGATATCTCCGCATCTAAGTTTCTGTATGAGTCCACTTATTTAAGTTAGGAAGACTCTGCGCACAGAACCCTGTTATACGTATCACTTCCAATTTATGCCAAGGAAACATCCTGACTTTAAATTACTTTTCTTTTTAGTAGTAGTAGAAAAAAGTATCAAGCACGCATAGCTCGACGCTAGACTCTGTGTGTGTGTGTGTGTGTGCATTGAAATGTTATTTTCTAGCCCTCCCCAAATGTACTGCTCTTCAGTAACAACAGATGAAGCCTTACAACAGGGGACTTGCTGCGATACTGGTTGGCATGCTGCTGGAGCAAATCCAGTGCTTTGGACTCAGTGGTTGATTTCGCATTGATGCTCGGGCTGGTATTGACTTTCTCCGCCTCTTCTCTCCCTGACATCTTCCCATAAACAGGATAATGAAATCCTGGAGAGAGATAGGCCCCTGCAGGTAAACAATAAATGCCACATCAAGTTACTGTTTCTACATTTTGGTTATATCAAGGTGGGAGGAGGGGGGTGCCAGGACAGAGAGTAACATCAGAAAGAGCTCATGTGACTTTCAAACTGTATCTTTGCTCTTCGATTTTTTCACTTAATTTGCCCTGATGAATGGCGGTTATAAAGAGGGCTGAGTTGATAGCCATTTCAGACATTTATGGGTCCTCTTTAAGTGAAAGGAATAGTAACTATAATGGTTCTGACAGTAAGTGCTTAGAATATTTTTATAGGCAATAAACTATCTGTCAGTCTAACAGCAACAGCAAACCGTCAAGAGTTGAGGAAACTGTAGTCGGGAACTCTGACAGTTCATAAAAGGAACACCTTGCGTTAAATCTGTTTCACCTAAAGGACCTTCCCTAGCATAAGCACAAGCAAAAGAACCGTCATCCATGAAGCTTCTAATTTACTCCAGCAATGAACAGAAATATTGAAATGCGGGCTTTGCCACATTTTGAGTGTGTAAATCTTTACTAGTGCGCAAGGCAAGTTTCAGGATACATACCAGGATAGCTGTGCATTAGGACAGGAGAGACTGCGCGATAGGCTGGATGGTTGGGATCGTACATCTGTGGATAAGGATAAGCATGCAAGTACTGGATATATGACTGATGCTGACTCATTGGTGAAGAAACTGCCACTCTAGCACCCCGAGAGTCCTTCCAATTTACAGGAGTCTTTCGATCATCGTTTTTTATCTTGCTCTCGTCCACGGATTGGGAATCAGAACGCTTGACCTCTTTAGGCTCCTCTTTAATGCTTGCTAATGAGACAGGAAGGTTAGGCAGGGAACTTTCCTTGTTAGGTGTTTTTCTTGGGCTGTCTTCTTTTAACTTTTTCTCACGATCAAGTTCTTCTGACTTTTGCTGATCAAGGTATTTGGGCTGATAGACATAATGATGCCATGTTCGTGAATCCGGGTCCTAATGTGGAGGAGAAAAAAAATTTGTTCTGGACTTAGATGTTGAAAGAAGATACTAGTATTTCCCATATTTTGGTTAATGTATTTTTAACAGCTGTTTTAAGAACATACCTTTATTATATAGAGGAGAGGTTTGCTTGCTTGCCTTGAGCTCAAACTAATATTACCATGAAAGAGTAAGAGACTATTATCAAAATGTAATTCAGTTGCTTCATCTTATATCCTCCGTCATGCCTTTAACTAGTTTAATCATGAAATATATATGCATCGTATCAAAGTTCTGTGACCATACTATACATAAAACATTTTAATTAAAGCCCACTGAGAGATTTTCCCACTAGAGAGCAAAAAATACCTGTGAACCACAAAATCAAAGCTGCCTAATGATATGTCAGAGCACTTAGATTACCTGGAACAATGAACCTGAACAACTGATCTTGCTGGAAAGATGCTTATGCTGCCTGTGATGCTGCAAACACTGATGAATCAGTGGCATGTCAGACATTTAGGCAGATTGCTGCAGCTGACAGCCTTACTTTAAGCTTGCAAAATGACACCTGCATAAGCATTTACAGGATCAGGACCACAAGCTTCAAGGAACAAGTACAGGATATCATAAATGTATTTTTGCATAACATAACTACGTAGATCACTTTATAAACATTGTATAGAATTAGGGAGGTGCATTCTTTCCAGGACTACATCAAATCAGTAATAAACAACATCAGGAAGACTTTTTTTTTTGTTTAAAGTACAAGCTACGCAAGGGCTAATCGTAAACATCGTCTCCAACAGATCCACATCATGGCAGGCGCAACAGAAACATGAGCACAGAACTAGACGCTTGGACGGTCTGGTTCAAATACTCATTTGAATCAGCAGAAACCTCCTCCTCAGGCCCGTACCATCCCACTTCCTTTAGAGCTCCCAACTCCCATTCACCTGACCCCACCACATCTTGAAAGACGGCCTGTTAGGGTGAAGTCTACGATGTACCGTACAGCACAACATGAAAGCGTTTGACATTGCGGCTCCAGGTCAGCGCAGAGAGACAGTAACATTACCTCGAATGAAGGAAATCTGACATCTAGGAAGGTCAGCATGAGCCACTGGATGAAATTCTGGTTCCACTGAAGTCAACGGCAAAACTAACACTGACTTCAATGGAGAGATGATTTCATCCATTGTGTAGGCCTGTAGGGGCTTGGGGTTGGTTCAGGAGACAAGGGGAACTTAACTGTTTTGAAAAGGTCACCTTGGGTTAAGATGAAGAGCTGAGCTTCAAGCCAACTCTTCAAAGAATCAGCTCACCCATCTCTAGTAAATGCCAACTGTCATTTAACAGAAGAAAAAAACACTTCAATTCGTGTTTCAAACGTACATTAAGTCCTCTCACAATGAAAGCTGCTTATTTTGCTTCAAATTTCTCATTTCCGAACTAAGCAAATTGCTTGGAATTTACATCTTAAAGAGAAATCTAATTCTATTTTATTCTTGCATGTAATTTTAAATAGTCTATTCATGTCTTAAGCCTGGATTCTGTCACCACCTTGCTAGACAGTTTTTTCTTCCTTTCAAACAGCTCAACTGAAAGGCCTGTTGGTTTATTCACCGACTACAGTACTATCCAGCAAGAAAAAAAGCTTGGGAGAGCTTGTTTGACTGCAAAGGTAAAAGAACGTAACAAAATCAGGGACAAAATCTCACGTGCTTTTAGAATAAATCAAGACACCTGTGTTCCATTGCCTGTGATCTCACCTGTTTAAATCTGGTGGTCGGATCTACTCCCGTCTGCTTCATGGAGTCCATAACAGATTTCATCTCCACAGCTTCCTTTATGAGCTGGTGGTTTTCCATTTGTTTGGCTTTGAAACTGTCAGACTGAAGCTGCTGCTGGTGATTGGAGAGGATCTGCGATTTGCTCGTCTCCTCACCTTTGTTAGGGACTGATGACCCTATTTTAGTGTTATTTTTGCTCAACTCTGGAGTTGAAGGGGCCTTTGAAATAGTAGCAGATGGGATATTCTTCTGCTTATTATCATCCTTTCCTATCTCCTTCAAGGGGGGTTCATTCTTCCTTTCACAGTCTCTTCCAGTTTGTGCCATCTTCTGTTCTGCTAGTCTCTGGTCCTCGTAGTATTTTTCATACTGCTGTCTGTAAGCAGGGTTGGAGGCCATTAAGGACTTTTGGTCCATATAGAGTCCGTAAGCATACTGTCCGTAATAAAGTGACTGGGCAAGTGCAGGGTGTCTTTGTGTTATTACTGACTGATGCTGTGGCTGCAAATTAGAGGAATTGGTTTCGCTTTTCTTGGGATCCGACGGTTCCGTCTTCTCTTTCTTTTCAGCCTCTTCCTCAGCTTCTTTTTTGATCTTCAGTCCCTGTGGGGTGCTACTGTTCCCAGCTGCTGGGGCACTGACCTGTCCAGAGTGCATGTAACTTGGAGAATAATAAGGATCGTAGCCATGGTAATAGGGAGAATGGGACTCTTTTGCTTGAGCCGATTGTGCCGTGGCTGAAGAATGTCCTTTTACAACACTGTCCTTATTAGAAATGATATCCGAAGGAGAGCTGGCCTTTGACCTCATGCCCTCTGACCGGCTGTCAGAGCCACCGTCATCAGCCGCATCAGAAATATCGGAGTAAGCAGGGCTGCTGGTTTTAGCGGCCGCGCTATCCGCGCCGTTTTGCGTCAACACGTGCAGCGGCGCCATCGAGGATTGTCCGTTCACCAAAGTGCTGCACTCCATCCGGGAGGCGCTCCCTATGGACGGGCTGGGCGCGTTGTCCGTGAACGTGTAAACCTTATCGGCTTCGGCCTTAATACTTGCCATCCTGCTCTCCTGAGACTCCGACAGTCCGTTAGCTAACACTTCATTCTTGTTGAGGTGGTCCTTTAAAAAATGTCCAGACAAATCTTTCCCAGACCCTTTTGAATCCTCCAGCTTTCCCAGCTTAGAATCCATCTTCGGGCTTCCAGTCTCTTTGCTTTCTTTGTCCTTTAGCTTTCTCTTCTCCTTTTTCTTTTTGTCTTTGAGCGACGTGAGAGCTGGGTTTACAGTGCTTGGCTCTCCCATAATAGTGGGCTTTGGTTGAATAGGCTTTAGCGGAGGGCTCTTTGGTGTAGCCTGAACAACAGTAGTTGTTAGAGAGGGCAGTCCTGGTATTGTCCCTGCAGTGGTGGTTGTAAAGGCTGTAGTAGGTATAGCTATTAATTGGGGAGGAGTTGGCGCCGGCGCTGGGGCAATGGGCCTGGCTGTTTTCAGTTTGGAAAGATTTTTATCCACTTTGCAATTATTAGCTTTTTTACCTTTGTCTTTATCACCCAAACCTTTCTTGTCTATTAACCCTTCAGCCTCCAACTTGGGCATTTCAGTCTGCAAACTGCCATCTGCTACTGAGCAGTTGTCCAGGGTGGCTGCCATATTAGAAATTACCGGAAGGCTGTTCAATTCACTGCTCAGACCCTTCTTTTTGCCCGAATTCTTGCCAGTTTTGGAACTGATAACTGCACTGGGGCCATTACTGGTCAGCTCCCTTTTTCCCTTGGGGGTCCCTGGGGTAGTGATGGAGGAAGGAGACGTCGGTGCTTTTAGCGGATCAAAGCCTGACAAATTTGTGCTTGGCTCACTGCATTCAAGTGCCACATTACTCAATGCTTCCTCGCAGTCTGAAATTTTGTCTTCGCTGTCAGGCTCAAACTCCAGTTTGTTTTCTGGGTCTAAATGTGCATGAGCCTGATGGTATCGCAGTCCATTAATGTGCTTGTACTTTTTGTTGCAGTTGGGGTGAGGACAGTCAATCAGCACTGGAGAAGAGCAGCCTTGGTCCAAAAAAGTGGTCTCGGGTTTCCCCTGCGGAGTGGTGGGAGTGCTTCTAGAGTTAGTACGAACACGTTTTCCAGACTTATTGTCCTCTGAACTGGAGTTCAAATCTAGCTCCATTGGAGGCTTATTTTTCCTCTTGTTTGTGGATGAGGGGCTGGCTTTGACGTCATCTACAGCGCAGTTTGGGGGTGTCCTGCGCCCACTCGAGTTAAGGCTGCCTCTCCTTCCCTTCCCATTGGCACCACCTCGATTCTTGTTCTGAAGTCCTCTGGACTCCGTAAAACTCGCATCACTTCCAGGTACAGCTGCAGCTGCAGCGGACCTTGCCCGCTTCCCTCTGCCCCGACCTCCTCTCATTTCCAGGTCACTCGTTGGCGATTCACAAAACCTATATAAACAAGAGCAGATGTCATCAGCAGGAGCTGTGAACTAAATAAATACTGAAACAACACCGCTTCCCCTAACAGAACCTTGAGCCATGTTAAAGGAAGGATGTGCTGCTTCCAAATGAGAACGTTACAGTCTCAAAGGGAACGTCGTTAAAAAAAAAAAAAGGAAAAAAACACCTAATTAGAACAACAGAGAGAAAATGTTTCCAAACTTATAAAAAAGGATTCTTAAATTAATTCCCCTTTGAATTAATCCCACATACTTCCCCTCCCCTCTCAAAAACACAAAACAAAAGGAAACAAAAACTCCCACCCTAACGTCCCCACTTTCCAGTGTGGAACAGAGAATTATTCATTTCACTGATGCATGTTTTCAATTACACCCAGTTGTTTTTTATTAATCTCTGTATAGTTGCTTGACAGGGATTGGGGGGGGGGGGGGGGAGGGGGCACTGAAAATACAGCAGAGAAAAAACAGACCCAGAATGATTGCCTACCTGGGAGGGGCCCAGTCGTGCTTTGTGCAGTCCAGCAGCGTTCCCACGTAAGTCTTGTTCCTCCATGTAACATTTACCACTAGAACACCTGCCGGTGGGAGAAAAACAAAGTATTATCACAGTCAGAACAATAATTGGGGTAGGTTTTTTGTTTTGTTTTGTTTTCTTTTTTCCTTCCCCACAAAGTCAGAGCTTTATTTTCATTTGCTTTCAAGAGCTGTGGTCTATACGCTTCCTCTTTTCTGGTTTCAGTGACCTCAAGTTAAAACCCACAGGAAAGCGAGCGAGCAAGAAAGAACAGGCATGCATGTGTAGGTGTGTGGGTGTGTGTAAATGTGTGTGCGTGTGTATGTGTGCACACACACTCACGGGTGGGGGTGTAAGAATATATGTCTGTGTGACTGCGAGTGTGTGTAATCAAGACACAGCTGACAGAAGGAAATGGTTTTTGCCATGTCCTGCTGTAAAACGGCAACACTCACCTCTTAATTTTGCTATTATTGCACATAATTGCTTTCGTTTGGCAGCCAGCCAGCATAAACTGAGCACCAGTTACAGTGTTTAAATCAGTAGGTGACTGAGAAGAATCTGCTTTGCTTTAAACAATATGATAATGACGCTTCTATTTATTTGAAATTGCATATATCCAAACACACAAAAACACACACACACACACACACACACAAAGCATGCACGCGCGTATACGCATTGTAAGTTTTGTTCAGCAGAGATACAAACGTGTATTATCTGCCTCGCCTCTTCCTCTGCGGAAAGAGAGGGATTAAATGAGAACTGCAACCTTACAGTAAAGCTAAGAGGATTCAAAATACAAATATTTAGAAAGAGGGCTCTTTTAAGAAATGTATTGTGTCATTTAACTGCTTTTCCGTTTAGGACTTCTGTTAAAATGTAAATACATCTGCCCACCTAAGGCCGACTCAAGAGTTTTGCTGTATTCGAAACATGTGTGAAACATATACGTGGTAAGGATGTCTTAAATAAAACTAAAAAGGGGGCGGGGGTCGTTCAAATGTTTTCAGGCTCCCCTCAAATTCGTCTTCACAGAGATAATTTATCGCCGTGTTTATGGACTAGTCAGCATAATTACCCCCGTAATTCATTAACTGCCGCAGGTCAACCCAAGGTAATATTCCTGAGCCGGGCGGGCAGCGTCTCTCCCCTTCCGAGCTCACACCAAAATAAGGGATTACTCCACCTTTTTATGTTTTGTTGTTTTTTTTTTTTTTTTACCGCGCGGAGCCGAAGGCCGGCCCGCGGTGCGAAGCGTTTCCCGCCTGCAGGAGGCCCGAGACGCTCAGCTGCAGCCGCCGGCCTCGTGACTCACTTTTCGGCGACACTTTCCTTGTTGGAGATAATAATGGCACCGTGCCAAAACGTTTCCAGCCCGCCGCCGGCTTGGTGTTACCGGTGTGATTTCTAATTTTGCCCTAAAACTCTCCCTCTCTGCTGCACCAAGGTAAAGTAAACATGTAGCCAGCAGCTTATTTCCTTGGGGGCCTTTTAACAGCAGGGAAGTATTTGAAGTGTTGTTAGCGGAGGTACATGGGAAGAAGGGATTTCCTTGAAAATTCTCAATAGCAGATTTGAAAATTATTCCCCATATGGTTTTAAGTTGCCGTTACGATGAGGCGACTGAACCATCTCAGAGGCTGGGGTAACACGGTCTAAGGGATGAAAGATGAAATAGCCTTCCAGGCAGGGCCAGATCCAGAGTTTTGACGCAGAAAAGGGCTTAAGCTACAACTGATACCGCAGCCAACCGAAATTCAGTTTATTTTTATGACCTACGCAACTTTAGCAGCCCGCAGCAAAAAAATGCACTTTCTTCCTGCCCCCTTCAAATGACAACAGACACCTGAAAAAGCTGCTGGGGGAGGGCGGGGAGGAAGAGGGGAGGAGGTGTTTTTCTCTTCGCTCGCTCTCCGGCGCGCCCTTCCCA